GTCATCGCAGCACAGCCATTCAAGCAGCCAAAGAGACAGAACCCAGAAGAAACAGAAGTTGGAAGCTGGGACCCATGAGATCTGAGACAGCACAGAAATGAAGGGCACATTATCGTAGGTAAGTCTGTCAATGTGCTAGTATTCAGTATACTAGCACATTATGGCTTTATCTTGCAAGGTTAATGCCATTTCAAAGTTTTAAATACAATTTACAACCACTTTAAAGCAGAACTTCATTAACATAAACAAGGTAAAAATCAATAACACATTAAAAGATAAAGTAACAAACCCAGCTTTTGCTATAATATTAACCTTTACCCCACAGTATCTATTTTGCTATTTGCCTTCAGTGATCAGTCTGATGGCCAGCAGCATTCAATCCACTTCCATTGAGTCCAGGACATACTTGACCTGTCCCAGTCTGTGACTTGATGGTGAAAAAAGGAGTATACCGTTAGGTCCATATATATTTGGACACAGGCAAAATATTTGTACTTTTTCAGGTATTTACCAAAACATATTTAAGCTATAGTTATATTAGGGGTATGGGCTGAAGGTGCACACGCTCAGGTTTAATTTGAGGGTATGTACATCCAAACTAGAGGAAAGGTTTAGGAATTAAAGCTCTTAAGAGTAGCCACCCCCCCTTTTTCAAGGGACCAAAAGTAATTGGACAATTGAATCAAAAGCTGTGTGGGCTACTCCTTCGTTATTTCTTCATCAATTAAGCAGGTAAAAGGTCTGGAGTTGATTCTAAGTATTTGCATTTGGAATCTATTGCTGTGAACCTACATTATGCGTTCAAAGGAGCCATCCATGCAAGTGAAACAGGCCATTGTAAAGCTTCAAAAACTAAACAAATCCATCAGAGAGATAGCAGCAACATTAGGAGTGGCCAAATCAACAGTTTGGAATATTCTGAGGAAAGAACGTGCTGGCGAGCTCAGCAACATAAAAAGGCATAGGTGTCGGAAGACAACAGTGGTGGATGATCGCAGGATCCTCTCTATGGTAAAGAAAACCCCATTCACAACAACCAGACAAGGGAAGGACACACTCCAGGAGGCAGGCATATCATTGTCAAGTCTACAATCAAGAGAAGACTTCAAGAGAGCAGATACAGAGGGTTCACCACAAGGTGCAAACCGATTATAAGCCTGAAAAATAGAAAAGCCATATTAGACTTTGCCAAAAAACATCTAAAAAAGCCAGACCAGTTCTGGAAAAGCATTCTTTGGACGGATGAAACCAAGATTAATCTGTACCAGAATGACGGGAAGAAAAAAAAAATGTGGAGAAGGCTTGGAACAGCTCATGATCCAAAGCACACAACGTCATCTGTAAAACATGGTGGAGGCAATGTGATGGGATGGGCATGCATGGCTTCAAGTGGGCACTGGGTCATTGGTGTTTATTGATGATGTGACAGCAGACAGAAGCAGCTGGATAAATACTGCAGTGACTAAAGATATATTGTCAGCCTAGATTCAGCCAAATGCAGCAAAGTTTATTGGGCAACGCTTCACAGTACAGATGGACAATGATCCAAAACACACCGCAAAAGCAACCCAGGAGCTTTTGAAGGAAAAGAAGTGGAATATTCTGCAATGGCAGAGTCAATCACCTGATCTCAACCCAATGGAGCATGCATTTCACTTGCTGAAGGCAAAACTAAAAGGCAGAAAGAACCACAAAGTAATGTCCATGGGTTCCAGACTTCCGGCAGTTATTGCCAGTAAAGGATTTTCAACAAAATATTAAAAATGGACATTTTATTTACGATTATGTTCATTTTTCCAATTACATCTGAGCCCCTGAAAATGGAGGGACTTTGTAATAAAATGGTTGCAGTTCCTAAAATTTGTACTTGATATTTATGCTCAACACCTTGAATTAACCATTTGCCGCCCACCCTATGGCCGAATGGCGACCGGCAAATGTCATCAGCGTTCCGGGTGGACGCCATATGGTGTCCTCCCGCACATGTGCTCCTGCAGAGCTGCGCGATCTGTCACTGGCCGTGTACCTCAGACATGGCTGATGACAGATCTGAGTATCGGCCCCCGATATAGCAAAGTAATTCTCTGCTATAAGCAAATTGTGTAAAAAAAATACTGATCACTTCCCCAAAGTAGTACAATGTTACTCTGGTAACATTGCACTACTTTGGTCATAGTGAAATATGAAAAAAAAAATATTAAAAAAAATGTAATAAATAATAATAAAAAAATATATATATTTTTTTTTTTTCCATACTGTCACCAGTCAGTGTCCCTGATCACCGCCATGCCAGTTATATGACACTGTACTGCACTGGTGACAGTATGTAAAAAGAAAATAGGGAAACAAATTTTTTTAAATGTTTTCATTTTCCGAAAAATGACCAAAAAAATGACAAAAAAAAAAAAAACTTTAAAAAACTCGCCATGCCTCTTATGAAGTACGTCGAACTGTCTACTTTGCAAAAAGGGGTCATTTGGGGGTATCTGTACTATTCTGACATTTTTGGACCTCAAGAAATTAGATTGGCTGTCAGTACTTCAGGATTGATCAAGATTCAGATCTATACCATAGTTTATGAACTCTATAAAACTTTCCTACAAACTAAAAAATACATCCTAATTTGGGTTATTTTCTCCAAAGACATGTAGCAGAATATATCTTGGCCTAAATTTATGAAGATCATTTATTTGCAAACTTTTATAACAAAGAAAAACGTGTATTTTTCAAAATGTTTGGTCTTTTTTTGTTAATTTAGCAAAAAAATAAAAACCCCAGGGGTGATTAAATACCACCAAAAGAAAGCTCTAGTTGTGTGAAAATGATAAAATTTTAGTTTGGGTGCAATGTTGTATGACCTCGCAATTGTCATTCAAAGTGTGAGCGCTGAAACCTGAAAACTGGCCTGGACAGGAAGGTGTAAAATTGCCCGGTATTGAATTGGTTAAAGCTGAAAGTCTGAACTGCAAATTAATTTGGATTGCTTTGTTTTAAATCATTCTGGTGGTATACAGAGTCAAAAGTATGAAAACTGTGCCTGTGTCCAAATATATATTGACCTAGCTGTATATATACATGTGATTTAGTGCAGCCGTGCCGCCCTGCAGCAATACTGCTGCTATAGGGCGGAGGGCAAGTGGTTAATGTAACATTATTTTTTAATGTTGATAAAGTCGTCTTCAAAATTGCACCATTTTGCCGATCAATAACAGTCAACATGAAGTAAAAAATTATTTGCAGAACATCCATAACTACACCAAACCTAGAAACAATGTAACTTACTGGAGTTCCAGGAATAATATCCAGTGAGCAATGGACTGCAAAAGGAGGCATTGTTCTCAACCTCTCAAATTCAAGAGAGTTCATTTTGGTCAAAATATGGCATAAATCATTTACTTTACTTTGACAAACGGAAACTGGATCACCTTTCTTCAAACAGGCTCCTGCAAATCTTCAGAAATATGACAGTTAATTTATGATTTGCCTATGAGATAGAAACACTTTCAATTAAGATGTCATCAAATAAATTTTCTCCCACCAGGAAATATGGGCATTTCATTTCGCTCTGTCAGCCAAAGAGCCGCTGGGGAGCCAAATAAAATATGTAAACAATGAGGAGTGAAAGTGTTACTAAACCCAGGACCCTGCATTCATGATACCAGGTCTCACACAGTACACACTACATGGAAATGCAATTATTTTAGCAAATACAAACCGCTAAATATCTTTTCTCATCTGCAGTTAGAGCAGACTTGTGACTTATATCAGTGTCCAGAAGAGCATTGGTTAAAGATCGTAGGAGTTTTCATTCACCCATGATTGTCCTGAAGCTGAAGGACCCCTGAACCTCTGTCTGAACAGTGCTGATTGACCCTGTGCTGATCACAATGCACTCTCCACAGAAATAAAGGAAGAAAAAAAAAAAAAAAAAAACCTTTCAAGCAACACACACCAAACTGAACAGGGGCAGCATGCTCCCAAGGCTCTGTTCTATTAGAAAATGAACAGGTGGTTGTGGATGAAGAGGAGGATCAAACATCCTTCTTACAAAATGTGGAGAACACCTTATGTTCCACAGTGAGTATAACAAGCATGCTTCACTGCATATACAGACTAATTTTACCGTTGTGGGTTTAGTAACACTAATACCTTGCCCCACAAGATCAAAATATAGGTTCAAAGGTTTGTGTTTAAAAACACATGTATTTACACATACATTTTCAAGTGTACACTGCATCTGTTTTGCATACCTCTTTTGAAAGAGTACCATGTCCATCCAAAAAAAAAAAAAAAAACCCTCCCAACAGGCAATCCCCACATCCTATCTCATTGCGAAGATGTGGGAACTGTTGGTTTTCACTGTTGTAAATCTAGGGATGTTGAAGGGTTTTCACATCCAAGTAAAACAGAAGAACATGGGAATCACTAACTGAAATTTTGACCAGGTCTTCAAAGGGGCCCAAATGGTCTACAGGTATGAAAAAAATAATGAAGATTTTACAAAGCTGCTCAATTTAATATCTATGGTGGCATCTTGCCTCCATAAGCTATGTTCTACATAAGCAGAACTTGAATTCACAAAAAGAGTGCTGTTTCTTCCTGCAATTTTGAAGGTGTAGATGTCAAATGTTGCTCCTCCCAAAATCAAGAGAAAATGATTGCACCCACAATACTTCTGTGGGAATATATATATATATATATATATATATATATATATATATATATATTATTTTTCACCATAAGAGTCCATTAAAGTTGATGAGTGAGGGGGCACACAGGAGGGGAGCACAGAACACTTATCCCCTTCTGGAAATGATAGAAATTATTTTTCACTTGTTGATTTCACAATTTTTTGTTACGTGTTCAATATTATATCATGTTTTTCATGTGATATAACACACATTGAGGAAACGTTCCTGATATATTTTGTGTATTATGTTGGTGAGGTTGTAACGTTTCTAGGAGCAGCAGCCCTGTTTTTTTTTCTTTTTTTTTTGTTTAACCACTTCCCATCCAGCCCATGTAGATAAACAGCCGGATGGGAGCAGTGCCGAAGAGGGTTGCCATTTATAAACGGCACCCGCATTCACTGCCTGTGCACGCTCCCTGTGAATCCTCCAGACACAGCGGAACACCGATCGCTGTACGGGACCTCTGTGTGAGGTCCCGATTCATGTGATCACCGATTGGCCAATCGGTGATCACATGAATAGCAGTAAACAAGATGTCACTTCTGACATCATTGCTTACTACTTGTGAAATCTGTGAATGATCACAGAGGTCACATGGTACAAGGTTATTCACAACAGCCTTGTGCCATGTGACAAGCTGTGACCAATCACAGCTCTCACAGTATTTCTCAATGGCTGCAAGAATGAGAGAAGGAGAAATGATTGCTTTTACAGCCTTTATGGGCGTAAAAGCAATCAGTGTAAAAAAAAAAAATCTTCACCACCCCCCACTAGTCCAGTGTCACTATGGTGACACTGTACTGCTAGGGTGACAGTATGTTTAAATAAATAAAAATAAAAAAAAAAAAAATGTAAAAAAAAAATCTTTGAAAAATTATAATTTTTAGTTATACACTAATTTGGGTTATTTTTTTTACTAAAAAGATAGCTGAATACATTTTGGTCAAGATTTATAAAGAAAGATCATTTATTTGTAAAAATTTTATAAGAAAAACACTTTGGAATTTTTCATTTATATAGCAAAAAAATAAAAATCCCAGTGGTGAATAAACACCACCAAAATAAAGTTTTACCTGTCTCAAAAAAATGCTAAACAATTCATATGATACAGTGTTGCATGACCACGCAATTGTCATTCAACGTGTGATAGAACTGAAAGCTGAAAATTGGCCTGGACGGGATAAGGGTGAAAGTGTCCGGACTGGAAGTGGCCAATATTGAGTGTGCACTATTTTTGGTGTGTCCTAAGCGCAGTTAATCATTATTTATCATACATTGCCTTTTATGTTCAGGACATTTAACAATATTAGCTTTGGAATATAAGCTGTACGTAGTCGCAAATGCAACGGTTTTGTAGCATGGTGCGAATAAAATTATTTTTAAATAACCATAAAATACTTTGCTTGGAGCACATTAAAGAGATGCAAGATGAAGTTTTTATGTACATTGCGTTACCGTGATAAGAATATATAGGGGCTGTTGCACAATTATTTGTTTTTAACTACAGTTACAGTTGCCAAAATTAATCACCCCCACTGAAATTGAGTGTTTTGGCCAGTTTGACATGCTTTTGATCATTCAGTCATCTTGCTTAATTTACATTAAAGAGGCACTTGTAGGTCAAACAAATATAACATAACAGTTATAATGAAATAACCACAAATGTCTTTTCTGTGCTCACAGCATTATCAGTTTTATTCAAAAAGTGACATTCAATCTTAGTAATTAGTACAGCATCCTTTTACAGTTATAAATAGCTTTAAAAACGTGAAGCATAGCTTGACACAAGTGTCTTGCAGCGATCTACGGGTATCTTCGTTCTTCATGGGCAAAGGCCTAGTTCAGTCACATTCTTAGGCTTGCGCACTGCAAACTTTAAGTCCCACCAGAGGTTCTCAATCGGATTTAAGTCTGGTGACTGCGATGGCCACTCCAAGCCTTTCCTCTGCAACTCTAGTGGACTTGGAGGTATGCTTGGGATCATTGTCCTGTTGAAAGGTCAAACGCCAAGGTAACTGCACACGTTTCCATCCAATATCTCCTGGTACTGAGAGAATTCCTGGTACCTTGCACACGCTGAAGCGTCCCTGTAACTGCAGAAGCAAAACAGCCCCAAAGCATGATTGACCCTCCACCATTGCTTCACAGTAGGCAAGGTGTTCTTTTCATCATAGGCCTTGTTCTTCCTCCTCCAAACATAGCGTTGATCCATGGGCCCAAACAGTTCTAATTTTGTTTCAATCAGTCCACAGAACACTATTTTTGGGTTTGTCCACATGGCTTTTGGCATACTGCAGTCGACTCTTCTTATTCTTTGGAGACAGCAAGGGGGGGGTACGCCTGGGAGAGTTCTGGCACGGAGGCCTTCATTACGCAGTGTGCGTCTTATTGTCTGGGCTGAAACTTCTGTACCCACATTGACAAATCTTTTCTCAGTTCCTCAGCAGTCACACGGGGACTTCTCTCCCTCTACGCTTCAGGTAGCGCACAGCAGTCGAAGTCCCATCTTCTTTAAAGCCACGACCAGGTAGAACAGTGCCCTTTGCCTTGAATTTGCGAATGATGCTCCTAAGGTGTCTCTTGGTATGTTTTAACATCTTTGCAATCTTCTTATAGCCATTGCCCTTCCTGTGAAGAGAAATCACCTCTTCTCTTGTCTTCCTGGACCATTCTCTTGCCTTCACCATGTTTGTAACCACACCAGTAAATGTCTAGAAGGAGCTGAGTATCACAGTCATTTTAAAGCTGCCTAATGGTGCTTTTTATGCTACATTGCTGCTCCTCCGACATCCACAGGTGTTTTCAATACCTGATGGAAAGCACCTGTATGAACCTCTGTTCTTCAGAGTGGTAGTCTTTAAGGGGTTGAATAATTGTGGCAATGAAGAAACCACATAAGAACCATTTACTACTGTATTACATAAACAATTGATGTCATTTTAGTTGCATTTGGGTAGTTACAACGTCCTTGTAGGATTTGATTCTGAATACAATTCCAAATGTACACTATAGTCCCTAAACCCCTTTACAGCATTGGGGGTTGAATAATTTTGGACACAACTGTACCTGCCTCTGAATCACCTAAGGTGTAAGAATGTGTATGAATGTGCTGAGCTGAAAACCACATAAAGATCTAAACAAATGTAAAAAGGTACTGCAATAAAAATCTCCATAAAAAATGTGTGGGTATAGAAGAGAAACACCAGAGTTAGGCTTATCGGTAACTCCTTTTCTGAGTCTTCCAGGACAGCCCCTTGAGACGTAGAGCTCCTCCCTCCGGGTCAGGAAACACGCCATCCCCTACGCCTTTAAAGGCGGACCTCATGGCCTCCATCCCCAGTCTTTATTTTGAGAACTAGCAGAAGACACAGGCGTCCGAATGCCTGCTATTTGACAGGAGATCAGGAGAACTTTGACCAGGTGGCTGCCTTACAGATCTCCTCCGACAAAGCCCCCCCCCTCTCTGCCCATGAAGCTGCTAAGGACCTCGCCGAGTGAGATTTAACAAAGAGGGGAGGAATACCTAAAAGCTTGTAAGACTCCCCGATAGCCAATCTAGTCCATCTACCTATAGTGTATTTGGATACTGCGAAACTCTTCTTTTGTCCCGAAAATAAAACAAAAAAGGGGAATCTGACTTTCTAAATTCCCGGGATCTATCGAGATAAATCATAAGACTCCTCCTTACATCTAGCAAACTTAGCCTGTCTTCATCTTTACCTTCAGGAGAAGAGTAAAAGGTCGGCAGGACTATATCCTGAGACCTGTGAAAGGAGGAGGATACTTTAGGGATGAAACCTGGATCCGTCTTGAGCACGACCCTTTCCTCAAAAACGGTTAGGTAAGGCTCCCTGATTGAAAGGGCTTGTAATTCACTCACCCTACGGGCTGACGTGATAGCTACCAAAAAAAAAACACCTTTAAAATCAAAATTCTATCCGAAGATTCTTACAAAGGTTCAAAAGGCTTGCGGATGAAAGCCTTCAGGACTAAGGATAGGTCCCAAACTGGACAAGTCTTGACCCTAATTGGTCTAGAATTGAAAAGAGACCTGAAGAAGTCCACTACAAAAGGATTTTGCTGCAAGGGGACCTGCAGAAAAAATGCTAAGGGCTGAAGCCTGTACCTTTAAGGTGCTGATCGAGAGACTTCGATCTGCCCCTTCCTGAAAAAAATCCAAGACTACCGTAATGTCTGGGGGCCCCTGCTGCTGGCCCAAAAACCATGAACTAAACTTTTTCCAGACTTTCGAATATATGGCTCTGGTAACTGGATTACGGCAGTTAACCAAAGTTTTTATCACTGTGTCCGAAAACCCCCTGGCTTTGAGGAGCTGCTCCTCAAGGACCAAGCCGTCAACTACAAGGTCCTGATCAGCGAATGCAGAAGAGGGCCTTGAAAAATCAGATCTTCCCTTTCTGGAAACTAAAACGGGTCACCTGAGGTAAGACTGTTCAGTAGGGAGAACCAGGGCCTCTTTGTCCAAAAGGGTGCTATTAAGACTAGATCTGTCTTTTCCCTCCCAAACCTTTGCAGGACCACTGGGATTAATCTCACCGGAGGAAATGCATAAGCCAAGTTGAAGTCCCAAGGGGTCGACAGGGCGTCTATCCCTAAGGCCTGTTCTCGCGGATTAAGGGAAAAAAAAATTTACCGACTTTTTCGTTCACTTGTGACGCAAAAAGATCAATCTCCAGAACCCCCCATCTGCGGATTATATCTTGAAAGACCTCCTGGTTGAGAGACCAATCGTTGTGACTGACTGGTCGTCGACTCAGGAAGTCTGCTAGGGAGTTCTGTGAGCCTTTCGATTAAACGGCGGATATTGATAGTAGATTTTGCTCGGCCCAGGTCAGAATACCGCCTGCAATCTTCTGCAGAGAAGGGCCCCGTGTACTTCCCTGCTTGTTTATGTAGGCCACTGTCGCTATGTTGTCCGACCTAATCTGCAAGTGACGGTCATCTAACTTTGCTCCAAAGGCCTCCAATGCCCTCTGAACTGCCATCAGCTCCCTCTGATTTGAAGACCGTAGCCTCCCTGGCGGTATTCCCGAGTGTATCTCGGGGGGAAAGTTTCAGTACCACAAGCAGTAACCCCGAGCTACACTCTGGCTTATCATGTGGCGCTGCTCTGCGATCCCTCGATTACTTACCTTGCCCTGCACTCCCGCAATGTCCCTCCTGCAGTGTCCCAGGCAATGTAATCCGGCGGATGCCGACATCTGTCATCTGGGTTCCGCCCCTGCGAGCGTCGGGACGTACGGGGGACGGAACAGCGGGAAATTTGAAAATGACAAAAAGTGACATTCACTAAAATCACATAGTAAAACATTACTGTATCAAACCATTTCACATACATTTTGTCCCTAGTGCTTTGTCTGGTGCCCTGCCTGCATTTTTAATGTTCTTATTGCCTGGAAACTGAGAAACGTCCATGGCATCCAAAAAGCGTCCCTTTAGGTCAAAAGTGGTTTTAGACCAGCTAGAGAACAGCGATAGTAAATCAGAACCACTTGCAGAATTGAGTGATGATTCGTGGGGAAATTCGTCATCAGACACTGAAAACAACATTTTGCGACTTTGCTCAGTGATGTAACAAACAAGAGATCTTTGCTCAGTGATGTGCGAACTTGGCGCTAGATTTCAAATTTTAGTGTTTTTGGTTTGATTATATTATTGAATTAAATGTATTATATTATTTTTTTATGATTA